TTCTTATTTAATTTTTGTGTTTCGTTCACAATACCAAGTAATAACTTCAAAAAAGTTACTTCGCTGTATGGACTTTGAGACTTCATCATGTCCATGAAAAAGCTAAATCATATCCCAAAAGATAACTAATTGTATCAACAACTTCATTCAACCGAGTGCGATAAGCAATTTTTGTTTCACCATTTTTTTGTGCAAACACATTATTCACACTGTGCTTTTGGCCTTTAATTTTTTCCAGAGCATTTCACTTATTTGTTTGAGTTAGAGAAATATAATTTGAGAAATAACACTACCAGAAATTCCTTCATTTGCCTCGGAATTAACTTCAGAATCAATTCCAGACTATCAAAAATACATATAATAAATATTAAGTTGATTAAATTTTTTTGCTTCGGAATTTCCGAAACTATTTAAAAATCCGAACCTATATTACATATACAATTTATTATATTGATTAATCTCGGAAATTCCGAATCTATTTTGATTAATCTCGGAAATTCCGAACCTATTTTGATTAGTCTCGGAAATTCTGAGACTTTTACTATTTTCGGAAATTCCAAACCGATTTCGATTAGTCTCGGAACTTCTGAACTTATTGTCATTACCTTCGGAACTTTCGAGACTATTATAGTCTCGGAAATTTCAAACATTTATTAGCCTCGGGACTTCCGAATCTATTGTAATTAGTCTCGGAACTTCCAAACTTTCATTAGTCTTGAAAATTTTGAACCTTTATTAGTTTCATAACTTCCGAATCTATTTTAATTTGTTTCAAAATTTTCCGAAGCTATCAAATAATTTAAATTTACCCGCCACTACAAATGAATTAATTTTGATTTTATTTTAATATATATTAATATTTTTTTATTGTGTAAAACTATATGAATAATAATTGATGAAATTGTTACATTATAAAAATATTTTAAATAATAAATATAATAAGGAGTAAAATTATAAGTAAAATACATTTTCGTCTCTTTTATTCATTAAAGTGTCAATTTTATTTTAAATAGTTTCAGAAAATAAAAATATAAAATTTCCTGCCTAAATTATCTTACCTAATTTAAAAAATTTCATTATTAAAATTAATTACTACCTACCTAACATAATAAATATTTTTCTAACTTATACTATATTACACAAATATCATTACTTTTATATTACACAATACTAATAAGGGCATTTTTGTCTTTTTTTTATTATAACCCAATATAATACTAATATTCAAAAATTTACGTGCAAAAAGTAAATTGCAATCTTTCTACGGGACGGAGGGAGTATTAAAGTTTAAAACCTAAACTACCTTACCCTAAGTTTATAAAATTTCAATATTAAAATTGTTTCTTTAAAATAAAATTCAAAAGTTAAAAACCCTAAAATAATTCAAATATTAAAGTTTTCCACGTAAACTACTTTACCCTAACTATATAAACTTCCAATATTAAAATTATTTTTATAAAATAAAATTCAAAAGTTAAAAACCCTATAAAATTCAAATATTAAATTTTCCCGCCTAAACTACCTTACCTAATTTTATAAAATTTCAATGTTAAAAAGTTATTTCTATAAAATAAAATTCAAATTTTAAAAAATAAAATAAAATTCTAATATAAAATTTCCCTCTTAACCTACCATACTCTAATTTTTAAAAATTTCAATATTAATTTCTTTTTAAAAAAAATTACAAAACTTAAAAAATTAAAAAAAAAATTCAAATATAAATTTCCCTACTAAACTACACTTTCTTATTTTTTAAAAATTCAAATATTAATTTTTTAAAGAAAATATAAAAATCATAGTTAAATTTTTAAATAAACTTTGGGGGTTTGGATTTTGAGTTGGGATTTGAATAGTAAAAATTTTGAATTTGAATAGTTATATGATGTGATATAAATAGGTATTGATATGATATTTTGAATGTAAAATTAATTTTTAGTATAATATAAAAAATAAAAAAAAAGTATTTGATTTGATGTTTTTGAGGGAAAAAAATTGGATAAATAATAGAATTTTGTTAAAATTCTACAAACGAAACACACCCTTAAAATACGCCATCTCTTCCTACATTAATTTCTCTCTTCATATATTTTCTTCATTTATTCCTCCTCCCTCTTCTTCTTCTTCTTCCACTTGCTCTCTCTCAATCTCCTCCTCTCCTCCTCCCCTCCACCTACCACTCACCGGCGGAATCAATGGGCGCGGCGGCGACGTCGACGGCGAGCGGCGGAGAGCGGCGGCAGCAGCAGCTGAGGCAAGCCCTTCTATTTCTTTTTCTTTTTCTCCGGCAGGCGGCGGCAGTGCAGGCGCATCTTCTCCGGCGACGGCGGAAGAGCCCTCCTCTTTCTTTTTCTTCATCTCCGGCAGGCGACTGCAGCGGGGCTGGTGGCGGCACGGGAGCTTCTTCTCCGAAATGGCGGTGGCAGGCCGTGGTCCTATTTTTTCCTTTATTCTTCGGCACGCGGTGACGGAGGCACTGAAATTTTTTTTATATATATATTTTTTTATAAGAAATTTGAAATTTGCTTCGGAAGTTTCCGATGCTATTGGTATAATATATATATATTTTTAAACAGAAAATTTTTTAAGTTTGCTTCGGAATTTCCGAAGCTATCTACTCTCAGAATTTCTGAACCAATTCCAAAGCATCTTCCTCCGAAAATTCTGAGACTATCCGAATTAGGCCAAAAAATTCCCAGACTATACAAACAACCGCAATAAAATCAGTTACGGGACAGTTTTCGAGACTATATCCGAGACTAATGGGAAATAGGTTTGAAAATCATTCATTTTCTGAATCAATTTTCCGAGGCAAAATAAATATTTTTTGGTAGTGTAAATTATTTTCATTTCTCTCATTTCCCTCTAAAAATGAATATTGATCCAATATTTTTATTTTTATTTTTTAATTTGTTTTACTATTTGATTTTTATAATTTTTAAAATCACATTATCTAAATTTTACAAAATATTACATTTAATTTATCATTCAAGTATTTAATTTATATATATTTTTTTAAAAAAAATTATACTAAAATATAATATTACAAAATATTGTATTTAATTTATTATTTAAACAAAAAAATCACCAAAAATATTTCTTAATAAATCTCACTCGTTAAAATTCTCTTTGACCCGATTAATAATTTATTATTGATCGATCTATTGTATGTTTACATTTTTCAACCTGAGTTATATATTTAACTAAACAAAAGAATTAATTTTCATTCTCTATTAAATTTCTTTATTTGTAATTCTATTCTCTATTCAATTTAGTTTTGCTGTAAATCTATTCTTTATTTTTATTTCTCTACAATTATATTCTATATACCAAATACCCCTTAATTCGTGAATTATTTCCACACCTTCATGTTCTTTAAATTTTTTAACAATCCTTTTCAAATATCTAATTTCTTTTTTATTGGAGATTGTATAATAACAACTTGGTCGCGGCCACCTCTCACCCTCCGTATATATATATATATGTAGGTTAAATAAAACAAATTCAATGGTTGAGATTAAAATCCAAAATCGGATGGCTCAAGAAAGGATGCGGATAAAAAACCTGGTCTACAGAGCATATCATGGATCAGAGGCATGGGTCGTGAGTTGGATCACGGGTTTGGGCTTGGTTTTCATGGGCTGTAGTAATGGGCATGTTTGTGCCCTATTTTGAAGTGGATCCAATAGACTTAAAAGATTCAACAAGAACAATAGTAAAAATCTATTAAACTTGATTAATTTAGTTATAGTTTGGAATTGATTTAAAATGAGATATTGTGTTTGAATTTTTATTTAAATAGTATTTTGATGTAATATTTTATAAAAGAAGTAACATATTTTTATTAAAAATCATGCGATATGAATAATTGTTGATTTGAATTTGAACCGGTAAAAGAACAAGTTTCAAGTTAAATAAATAATTTGAGGTTTATATTTTTATTTTTGTAAAATAAGTTGTGTTCTCTTAAGGGGTGTGTTTGTTTGGAGGTTTGGATTTTGGACTGAGATTTGAATAGTAAAAATTTTGAATTTGAATAGTTGTATGATGTGACATAAATAGGTGTTGATGTGATATTTTGAATGTAAAATTGATTTTTAGTATAATATAAAAAATGAAAAATAGGTGTTTGATTTGATGTTTTCGGGAAAAAAAATTGGATGAATAGTTGGATCTAAATCCAATTCTCCAAACAAACACAGTGTTTTTTTTTTTAAAAAAATATTGTTAGTTATTGAAATTGTGATATTATTTTGGTGGAATAATTTTTTTATTATTTTTTAAATATTTTGTGTTATTGAAATTGTGATATTATTTTGGTGGAATAATTTTTTTTATTATTTTTTAAATATTTTGTGATAAAAAACTACTATAATTTTATTGAAAAATATGAATAAAAAATTTTCTATTGAGAACTATGTACAAATAGAAGAGCAATAGGCCCTGTTTAGTTATTCTGCCTACTATTTTCATTTAAAAAAAATATTATTTCTGTCATTTTTTAATATTTATAGTTATTTCTTGTGTATAGATTAAGTAAAATTAGTATTTTAATAATAGCCAGTAGATATAATAGTATAAAGATCAAATTATTCTTATTGGGACAGAGAATTTATAAATCTTTAAATTGAACGGATCAAAATAAAAATATATAAATGTTAGAGGACGAAAGTAATATTATATTTGACTTATTATTTAAATCAAATGAAAGTAAATAAACACGTCATTTTTTACATTAAAACACCTTTGGAGAAATGATATCCAACTCCAAGTCCTACAAACCAAGCATTCAATCCAGTGAATCCACACTTATATAAATTTAAATTAATTAGTACAATAAAGAAATTCACGACTAAATAAAAACCATGTAGATATATATGTGGATAGATATTTAGGCTATGTTCTTCTAAATTTCAACTTTCTTCCTTTTTTAAAAAATTATTGTGGAAAAATATTGAAATAGCACAAATAACAACATTTTATGGATTGAGTGAGGAAAGCCTACACTCTCAAGTTCTTCATTCATATCAACCGGTATACAAGAAGGCGTAATAGATATGTAACGCCACAGATCACAAAGGATCACAATTGAAAGAGTTCATCACATGAATCAACTTAGGAGAAACGCTGCTTCACTTCGGACGCTACAGACTGTTTCAAAGCTTAATACAAATATCAAAATGTTAGAACATAAAATTGAAATTCTCTATTTCAATCATAATCTTTTTTTTTTTTTTTTTTTTTCAAGAGGAAACTTTTATACACCAAGATTCATGATTTATCTACATCTGATAGAATGGCAGTAGGGGAGTAGTATGGTCGAAAGGCATGGCAGTAGGGGAGTAGTACGGTCGAAAGGCATTGTATTAAGACATATATGAGTTTTGTAGTCCTAGAGTTTTTCTACGGCTATCCCGGCTCAGAGAACCTCGTAGGCGTCTCTGCTGCAGGATTTCTTCATCCCAGCAGTGAAATGAATCTTCGATTTATCTGATGTGATGCACGTGACCTTAGCCCAAACAATCACCTTCGTCTTGATTCTGTCTATGTCGGCCAGCTTGCCTTTCTCGAGATAACTGGATACAGTGGTGGAAAACCTCAGTATGGATGAGTCTCTGTATCCCACTTCACAAATTGATGGGATGTACACGATGAGATTTCCTGTCTCCTCATTGAACTCGTAATTTGTGGCGTCGTGTGGGAAAATCCCGATTGCCAGGTCGTACTCCTTCAGGAGATCAGGCAACGGCTTTTGCATTTTTCCTTTCAACTTGTTAACCAACCATTTGGCTCCTCCTTCAATACTGTTGGATAATAAACTGATATCGTTGCCGACGGAGTTCAATTCCCTGTTGGCCTTCTGACCAATCCAGTACGATCCCATCTTGTTCAATATCTGATCCATTTACGGAATAAATTCACAGAGTATCAGCTAGATCTCGCCTGTTCTTCGATCTCATCTAGTGAAACCACAACGCCAACAACGAAAGCCCTAGAGAAGAGGGATCTCCGCGAACCTTCGGGGCTTTGCAGTCATTTCTTTTTTCGTAACTAAGTCAATAAAAATAACAACATGACCGAGCATGACTGTGAATAAAAACAGATACATCAATAAAATATAAAAATATATATCAGATATAACGGGTCATGGATGTACCCGGAGAGAATTTGGCTCTGATACCATGTTAGAATATGGAATTGAAATTCTCTATTTCAATCGTAATAATACATACATATTTATAGTTATAGTGATATACAAATCTTTTAAATAAGATAAGAATCCTACAAATAATTACCATAAATATAATATATTGTTTCTAAATATATTTTAACACAAACTAAGCAAGAGATGGAACTATACAATCTTACTCAAACATCAGTAGACATCGATGATGTGCTCAACCATCAGTAGACATCGATGATGTGGTGTCCTTTAATACTTGTATACCGGAAAGCATCAAACCGACGAGTAACGAGTAGACCTACATATTCGAATCTGCTACGGAAAATATAAAGAAAAAATAAATGAAGAAGAGGGGTGAAAGACAGAAGATGGATGGAGGAGAGAACTCTGGTGTAGAGACCAGGGAAGAGAGAGAGAGATGTGGCAGGGGTGAAGTGATCCAATTGATCACACAACGTTGCTCTAGATGAGCATATATATATATATATAGATAGTAATGGGATGAACCTAATAACCATCAGCAAGGCCCATCGATTGGATTGATACCTGTTCTTTTTAACACCCTCTCTCCCTCAATCGAAGGGCCATGGTCAACAACTTGAAAAATATCAATCAAGTTGTTAAGTTTACATAATCAAGAAATCGACTCACCAACTAGAACCCTTATAAGCAGATCAGCACATTCAGCAAATTTTGTTGAAACAATTCATTTAATCACAAAATCTCTTACCATATGGCAGTCAACGTCAATGTGTTTAGTCCGTTTATGAAACACAGGATTAGTAGAAATTTGCAAGGCAGCAGTATTATCACAATATAGAGAAACAAGAACAGCATGATTAATACCCAAATCATTCAGTATTCCGAGAATCCAAGCGATCTCAGCACAAGTTTGTGCCATTGCCTGTATTCAATTTCAGCTGAGGATCTCGATACAGTGGACTGCTTTTTGCTTTTGTATGACACCAAGGAGTTCCCAAAAAAAATACAGAAACCTATAACAGATTTTCTGGTAATAGGACAAGCAGCCCATTCAGAATCACAAAAGGCTTTAAGAATGAGTTCACCATGATTAGAGAACATTAACCCTTGACCTCGGCTACCCTTCAGGTATTTGAGTACCTTTAGAGCAGCATTAAAATGAGACTTCTTTGGCTTGTGCATAAACTGGCTCATATTTTGGACAAAAAAAGCAATATCAGGTCGTGTCATAGTAATATAGATTTTCATGACAATCAATTGTTGATAAGCAGTGGGATTTTCAAGCAGAGAATCACCCTCACTCACTTCATTAGTGCATTTTAGGTGTTTTTCCATAGGAACTTAAGCAGGCTTGCATCCTAAAACCCCAAGCTCAGAGAGTAATTCAATAGTATATTTTCTTTGAGAGAATGCAAGGCCATCGTCACATTGTATGGCATCTATACCCATAAAGTAATGGATATTTTTCAAATCTTTAATTTTGAACATTTTATCAAGAAATTCCTTAAATTCATTTAATGACTGTTCATAGTGAGTTTTAGGTGTTTTTCCATAGGAACTGAAGCAAGCTTGCATCCTAAAACCCCAAACTCAAAGATTAATTCAATAGTATATTTTCTTTGAGAGAACACAAGACCATCATCACATTGTAAGGCTTCTATACCCATAAAGTAATGTATATTTTCCAAATCTTTAATTTTGAACCTTTTATCAAGAAATTCCTTAAATTCATTTTATTTTTTCAACATCATTTCCAGTCACTAATATATCATCAATATACACAAGGACAAAGATTGTTAGATCATTGAAAACTCTAGTAAACAAAGAATAATCATGTAAGGACTGTTCAAAACCAAACTCAAGCATAACAGATTTTAGTTTTTCATTCCATTGCTTAGGAGCTTGTTTAACCCATATAAAGACTTCTTCAAAAGACAAACTTTATTTTTAAACAAATTAAGGTAGTCTTCAAGAGGCTTCATATGAACAACTTCAGCAAGATCCCCATGAATAAAGGCATTATTAACATTGAGCTGAAAAATTTCCCAGCTACGAATAACAACTAATGACAGAATAAACCTTACAGTAACCATTTTGACTACAGGGGAAAATGTCTCATGGAAGTCTAAGCCCTCCCGCTGACTAAGCCCTTTGGTGACAAATCGAGCTTGTAGCGCTCTACTGTTCCATCAAAGTTATATTCACCTTAAAGACCTATTTACATCCTATAGATTTTCTATCAGAGGGAAGATCAGCAAGAACCCAAGTCTGATAATCTATGAGAGCTTTCATTTCCAAGTCCATGGTAGTCTTCCAATTAGGATCAACCATGGCTTCTTGGACAGTTTGTGGTTCAAGATGTTTTTCAAGATTAGCTAAGAGACAAACTGTACTTGAGGACACAACTTTAGGGATGTGATACACCTTTTCAATAGGGTACTTAACAGACACTTGACCTAAGGAGACTTCATAGTCACGCAGGTATATAGGCTACCGAACAACACGTGAAGATTTTCGAGTGTTTTCAGATGTAGCCTCAGGCCTGCTATTTTGGGGAACATTTTCCATCACTGAGATGAGATTAGTGTAGGAATCCGTGTTTATGTCACCGGTGGTAGTTAGTTGTGAATCCAAACCAAGTGATTGGATCATGTCTAACTGCATCTCCTCACGATTATCTTCAAAAATAGGTAAGAAATCATCATAGGTAGCATTGTAGGGTCCAAAATTAGGACTATGTGTCTGTCTAGGAGCATTTGTCCGTTCAGACTTGAAAGGAAAAGTCTCCTCACATAACTGAACATCACATGAAAGAAAAACATAGTGGGTTTCAAGATCCAGAACCTTATATCCCTTCTTTCCTTCAGCATATCCTAGAAAATAACATTTTATTGCCCGAGGATGAAACTTATCTGAATTGTTTAACACAGTGGCATAACACAAGCACCCAAAGACTCTAAGGCCACAAAGACCAGATGGAGAATTATGAACATGCTCAAAGGGGCTATTGCCATTTAAGAAGGGAGTATGTAGTAGCCTTGATGCTTCCAATAAAGATTCTCTAACACTACGTGTAGCAAGTCATGCCGAGGTCGATCCACAAGGACTGCGAAGTTTAATTCCTAATTTTGTCACACATTCAAGTATTTGGGGATGAATTAGCAATTCACTAAAATAATTAAAATAAGCGATGAAAAATAAAATTTAGATTTAAAGAGATTAAACTTCTAGCCCAAGGAGTGAATAAGAAACCAGATTAAAGATTCGATAATTAATTTTAGATAATCTTGTTATTCAACTGACAAATTGGGTATAGGCATTAGATACGATCATAACACCCAATTTCTCCTTACTTTATTGGCGGCAATTGTACGACTGATTAACCGCATCCCTAATAAAAGAAATAATCTAGGTACAACCATAAATTAATATCTCCAATTGAAAATAGCATGAGAAAAACCTAAATCAAATATTTAATCAATTACGAAAAGATTAAATTATTTGATCATGTGATTCCTAGGCTAAGCTTGTTAACCTATTTACCACTTTATAAAACACATACACAATTACGGATATAAATGTTCAATTGGCACAAAATTGCTAAACCAATCTAAGATCCGACCACGATAAAAGATTAAATAAAAAAAAAATGCAAGCATGAATCACAAAAATCACACAAATATCAATTTACTTAAATGAGATTCAAATTAAATCAAAACACAATCTCACAAATCCCAATCCAAAATCTACATTCAACCTTGGACTAACTAGGAATTTAGCTACTCATACTTATAAATAAATAAATAAAACATTAAACTTGATGTGCTTCCTCTTTAAACGGCCTTCTCAATCCTCCACTTAAACTATGAAAAGTGAGTATGAATTGTGATACAACATCCAATGCTTTGACCCCCATTTTATAGATGACCGGGTCCTCAATCACTCCCTTAATTGCTCGTTATTAATCATAATGCCAACAATCAAGCTTTAATTTCCGTAATCCACCTATTTCTTTAGCATAAGAGCTTAATTCAAGTATTTCCAAAATTATTTGATCGAAAATATGGCATGGACGTGAATCGCTCAATTCCCTTGCACAAATCAATACATGCCTAAATGAGTATGAATCTATCCAAAACATTGATTAAATCTTATAATTTATCTCTAGAAAATATATAACAATATATATTTATCAATTCCCCCACACCCAAACCATGCTTGCCCTAAAGCATAAACCAAACAAGCACACGAAAGAACTTAATGCAATCATAATCTCCACAACAAATTCATATTATCGTTACCTCAATGAAACTCAAAACATACCAAGCGCAACATAACCTCACTAGGAATAAAGTGTATACACTCAACACTCAAATGTATATGGATTAACAAGTCACTGGAGTCGCATCGTAAAAATGATTATCCAATAGGCTTGCATATTGTCACATCTCTTAATTCTTCGAATTCTAATGCAAATAATCAAAGGGTCTTTAAATAAGGTTGTAACGGGACTTTAGGTTGGGGTAGGATATAGGATATTATTTTTTGGCTAAGTAAGTAAAAAAGAAAATATTCCAGGCTCATTTTGTAATTATATAGACTCTGTGTAAAATTTCTCATTCCTCATTTATTCCTTCATTATCATGCATACTCAAAACTTTATTCTTGCAATTTACGTAAGAAGAATGCTCACCAAGATAACCCGTATTACACCCAACTCAACCGACAAGTTAACATCAAAATGCCCATTCCCACTATAATGCGATGAAAATTTGTGCCATTTTTTTTTTTTACTTTTCTCTCATAAGCAATAAACAACAATAAATAGACATAACTTTCCATTCCCTTGGAGACTTTAAAATCATATTCATTTATTTCAAAAATTTCATCTTCTTCCTCGTCAGAATCATCTTCCAAACGAATGGAATTGTGCAATGCTTCTAATTTTTTTTTATTTGCTGCTCGCATACTTTTCCCTTGGATCAAGTGTTGTTTTAGTAACTCTCTTATTTCTTTTGGAACTCTCGTACATGCTTCAACTTAACCAGTAACATGTGCTATATGTTGTTTCATCTTAGTAATCCCACCGTGAATAATTTTTCCACAATAATTGCATTTTGCTTGTTTTCTATCGTTGCTTATAGGAGTAGCATGATTCCAACCATATGCGGTGCCATTTTACACAAACTCTGCAATTGAATAATAAAATTGTTAAAATATTTATAAGTAGTAATTTATTAGTTAATTGGACAAATTATACATATTATTTTATTAATAAATCAAATTTATACAAAAATTTAACTTAAATAACTAATTCGTATAACTTAGACATAGAATATATATTTATTAAATTTATATATAAAAACAAAATTAATTTTAATAAAACTTACTTTATATAGATTAAATAAAATTAAATACAATCCAAAATAATTAAATTTATCAATTAAATAAATAAATCAATCAAAATAATTCAACATTAAATTTAATCCAAAAATTAAGAATCAAAATTATATATTAACTATATTTAAAAAAACGTAAATTAATTAAAGTAATAATATAATTACCGTACTATCTTTCTTCCACCGGTCCTTCCACCGGTCCTTCCACGGTGTTCTTCCACCCCTGCGTTCTTCCTCCCCAAAAATTCACGAAGTAACTTTTTTTCTACACAATACCAACAATTTTTCTTCAATTGCAGAAATTTTTTCTCAAATCCTTCTACCACATCGAAGATTGCTAAAACCCACATTCTCAACACTGTAAATATTCAAAACTTACCTTGTCCACCACCAGGAATTGAGAGTAGAAACCAGTATTTTTCGTCACCCGCCAAAGCCACCAGTTGAGAGAAGAGAGAAAGTAGGAGTATTTTTTCGTCACTCGTCGCTGCCAGGAAGGAGAGAAGGGAGGAAGTAGGCAAAGAATGAATAAGAATTGAATTTTGGATAAGATTTGTATATATTTAAAAAACCCTATCCGATATTTCGGTTGAACCGGAACGGTCCCGGATCGGCCGAGTCGGACCGGACTCGGCCGATCCGGCGAACCATGCATCCACTCCAGTGCATAAATGGAAGCACTACACGAGTAGAAACGATTCCTTGCAACAGAAATCCTAAACCAAAAATCAAACCCCCTTGCAATACAAATCCCAAACCCAAAATCAAACCCTAATCACATCTACAGCATCTAAAAATTCATCCACCTCTCAAATCTTACCAGTGGTTGTGATTAACTTCGATGAAAACAAATTTTGCAGAAAACCTGAAAATACAAAAATCTCATAAGTTTGCGAAGGAACATTCACCGACGCCCACGAGATGAGGAAGACGGAAATCGACGGTGGTAAACAATGGTTGACAATAGCGGATTTGCAGGCTGTAACTGCGACGAGGGAATGAGAGTAGCAGGAGGTGGCAACGATAAGGGTAAAGTAGAGAGTCATCCGTACTGATCCTTATTTATAAATATACTACTAAATATACTACTGTTTGTGTGTGTGCTAAGCCATTTTTTGTGATTTATTTTTTTCTATATTAATACGTGGTATTCATTGATTAGCCTGTGCATATTTTTTGTTTTTAAATTTTTTAAGAGAAAAGATAATATAAATATATTTTAGAGAGAAAAAGTATAAAAAAAATGTTTACCGACTTAGTCTTATGAAAGAAGAAGAAAATCAGAGAAAAAGAGAAAAAATAATACCCCGTTATGCAAATGTGTGCTCATTTGATCCAATACATGTTTTAATAAAAATGAGTAATAATAATAATTTTTTCTTTTTATAGTAAAAAAAAGTACAAAAGTGTAATAATTTTTTACTTAAAAAAGAAAACAAGAATATTTTTTTTTTTATGACAATCCAAAAAAGAATGTGAGTATAGATTTGAATGACGGAGGGAGTATAAATATATTTTGGAGAGAAAAGAAAAAAAATCGAATGAATCTTATGAGAGGGGAACAGAATAAGAGAAAGAGAGAAAAGATAATATACATACTTCCTCCGTCCCTTAACCATCTATCCATTTTTCCATTTTGGTCCATTCCAAAATAAAGTATTTATTTCCTTTTTTAGTAATTGTATTATCTACCTAACATCACAAATACTTTTCCAATTTACAATATATTATACAAATGTCATTATCTTTATATCATACAATACTAATAAAGTTAATTTAGTCTTTTTACCTTTATTTCTACTATATTCTAATATAATACTAATATTTCTAAAACTCTATGCAAAAAATAAATAGATATATAAATATGGGACGGAGTGAATATATTTTAGGGACAAAAAGAGAAAAAAAAAAAAAAAAGAAAAGAAAATGTTCGACTGAATTAGTCTTATGAGAGAAAGAGAGAAAATATAATATGAATATGTTTTAGCGAGAAAAAAAGAAGAAAAAAGAAAAAAAAAAAAAAAGGTTGACCGAATTAGTCTTGTTAGAGAGGAAGAGAATGAGAGAAAAAGAAAAGAAATATATTTTAGAGAGAAAATGAGAAAAAAAAGTGCTAGTCGAATTAGTCTTATGAGAGAGAGAGAATTAGAGAACAAAAAAGAGAAGAAATGAAAAAAAAAAAGTAGCTGATCGAATTGACCAGATGGAAAGAAAGAAAAAAATAGAATGAATTATATAAATAATTTTTTTTCATAACTATACAACCAATCAATTTTAAAAATTTTAATTTTCTTTTCTTAAATTTTTTTTTTATATTATACATTTTTTGGTTTAATTTTTTGTTGTATCATTAAAAAAATTATTCTCTAGAAAATAATATATATTGATATATTTCAAATATCTAATTAAATTTTAAAATTACATTAGCCCATCCGTTACAATTATCTTCTCCATTACATCTCTCATTACGTTCTCAATTTTTATTATAACAAGATGTGTTATCTTTATTAGGAAACAGGGTTAATATTCATTTACCCCATCCGTCCCATATCTATCTATGAATTTGTTTTTTGCATGAAATTTTAGAAATATTAGTATTATATTGTGATGTATTAGAAATAAGGTAAAAAGACTAAACTAACCTTATTAGTATTGTATGATAGAAAGATAATGATATACATATTGTAAATTGGAAGGGTATTTGTGATGTTAGTTAAATAGTACAATTACTAAAATGGAAATAGATATTTTGTTATGAGACGGATCAAAATGGAAAAATGAATAGATTGCTAAAGGACGGAGGGAGTATTATCTTTATCAAAAACTCATTACCTCTGTAAAAATAATAAATAAATAATTATTTAATTAATTATAACTTAAAATTTTAAATCTTAAAATTTTAAATTTATCATTAATTTATTTATAAAATAAAAATTCAAATTTATTTCAAAAGATTACGATCGACCTACATATTTTTTTTTTTTTAAAAAAAATTATATATCCAATTTCAACATTTAAAATTTTTATATTCAATCTCTTTTCAATTAGTTCTTTAACAAAACTATCAGAAACGAAAAATTATTCTGGCAATATATTAATCCGACTTTATTTTCAATCATTTAGATTTTTAAATGCCACTAATTTTATAAATTCAAATAATTTTAATATTTCATAATATAAAAATTTATATAATATTATTATAGTTTATATAAATTAATATTTTAAAGATAAAATATAATATTAAATAATAAAAATTATTTATATATTATTAGACACTAAAAATTATATAAAAATAAATAATTATGACGAGTTTTATAAAATTGTAAAATAATAGGTAAATAATGATGCTATAACGGGTGTTAAAATAAAAAAATTTGAATGTTGATATATGTATATGATGTAAAGGAGAATGATAAAAAAAAAAATAATGCAACAAAGAGATTGACGGTAACATATGTTCTTATATGAATATGACTATATAAATTTAAATAATAAAAAATATAGATATAGATATTTTGAAACAAAAAGGACGTGATTGACCAAATTGGTCGGATGGAATGAGAGAAAGAAAGAGAATAAATTATATAAATATAATTTTTTTTATAATTGTGCAACCAACCAATTTTAAATAATTCATTTATTTTTTTCAAAATATTTTTTTTATATTATACTTTTTTTAATTTTTTTGTGTATTATTAAAAAAATTATTCCCCTAAAAAAATTATATATTGATATATTATAATAACAAAAGGTTCAATCCATCTGGAACGTAATTTACCGAGAAAAAACTTGAGCTTAGAATTATAAAGAAGCACTTTCTGACCGACATAAAAATTTTTCCTTAATATTCCTTGGTCATGAAAGGCTTTCATCTTTGCTTTGTACGTCAAGGCGCTCTCATATGCCTCATTCCGAATCTCTTCCAATTCCTGCAACTGTAACTTTCTATGTGTTCCCGCTTCGTCAATAATCATGTTGCATGTTTTTACTGCCCAAAAAGCACGGTGGTCAAATTCAACAGGAAGATGACACGGCTTACCGAATACTAACCTATATGCGACATTCCGATAGGCGTCTTGTAAGCAGTGCGGTAAGCCCATAATGCATCCAGGAGGCGGAGACTCCAGTCTTTCCTATCCTATCGAACAATATTTTTAAGAATAGACTTAATTTCTCGATTCGACACCTCCGCTTGACCATTTGTCTGAGGATGGTATGAGGTCGAAACTTTGTGCAACACGCCATACTTCATGAAGAGAGCGTCGATGGTCTTGCTGCAAAAATGGGTTCCCCTATCACTCACCATAGCCCTAGGCATTCCAAACCAGATGAATATGGTGGACTTAATAAAATCTGCAACCACTTTAGAATCGTTAGTCCAGGTGGCTTTTGCTTCCACCCATTTCGAAACATAATCAACGGCGACAATAATATATGAAAATCCATGGGAAATGGGAAATTGACCCATAAAGTCGATACCCCATACGTAAAAAATTTTAACAAATAACATTGGTACCTGAGGCATCTCGGCTCGAGAGGAAAGATTACCTACACGTTGGCAATTGTCGCTTGACGTGCAAAAGGTGTGGGCATCCTTGAACAATGTTGGCCAATAGAACCCGCTATCCAAACTTTCATTGTCGTTCGTTGGGAACCAAAGTGTCCAACAATTAAGGGTATGGGATAATCGAAGAATGGATTGGTGCTCACCTTCTTGCACACATCTTCACAAAATTTGATCCGAGCAACGCTTCCACAGGTAAGAGTCATCCCATATGTAGTACTTTGCGTCGCTTTTGAGTTTTTCCCTCATAGCTTTTGGCCAACCTGCGGGAAACACTTTAGTTACTATATAATTAACTAAATCGGCATACCATGGAATACAATGTTCAACTTGAAGGAGCAACTGTTCATCCGGGGTGTCTTCTTTAGTGGTAAATCGTCATTGTTGGCACAAGGGAGACGACTCAAATGATCGCGACAAGGTTCTCCGATCCCTTTTTGTCCTGAATCTCCAAATCGAATTCCTCAAAAGGTAGCTCCCAATTAGGGGGCCGCACGATTGGCGGAGATGACAAAGACTCATTAATTGTGTCGAATGCTTTCTTGCACGCTTCAGTGAAATCAAACACTGCTCCTTTTTGTAGTAGCTCAAATAATGGGCATGCTATTTTTGAAAAGTCCTTGATGAACCTCCGGTAGAAACCAACATAACCCAAAAAGGAACGTACCTCTCGAACGCAAGTAGGATATGGTAACATGGAAATTAGATCGACCTTCGCTTTGTCCACCTCGATGCCTCGTGATGATACAACATGGCCCAAAACTACTCCTTGTTCTACCATAAACTGATATTTCTCCCAGTTGAGTACTAAATTCACTTCACATCTTTCCAAAATCAAAGATAGGTTAGCAAGACAACTATCGAAGCTATCCCCATAAACACTAAAATTTTCCATGAATAATTCAATAATTTTCTCAACATATTCAGAAAAAATACTTAACATGCACCTTTGAAATATCGTCGGGGCATTGCAAAGACCAAATGGCATTCGTCTATAGGCAAACACTCCGAATGGGCATGTGAATGATGTTTTCTCTTGATCTTCCGGGACGATAGCAATTTGAAAATATCCTGAAAAACCATCTAGAAAACAATAGTGAGCTCGACCAGCTAATCTTTCAATCATTTGGTCAATATATGGGAGAGGAAAATGATCTTTCTTTGTCACGGCATTAAGCTTACGGTAATCGATGCATTGCCGCCAACCATTTTGCTTTCTTACCGGGACTAACTCACCATTTTGATTTGTCTCCACGGTTATCCCGGACTTCTTAGGAACAACTTGGATTGGACTTATCCAAGGACTATCGGCAATGGGAAATATGATTCCTGCATCCCGGAGTTTGAGGACCTCCTTCTTAACAACTTCCGTCATGATTGGATTCAACTTTCTTTGTCCCTGCCTCACCGGCTTTGCGCTTTCCTCAAGTGTGATCTTATGCGTGCAAAACAAGGGGCTTATACCTTTGATATCAGCTATTGTCCATCATATCTCTTGTTTGTGTTATGTTAGCACTTGAATCAATTTTTCCTCTTGTTCCATCGTCAACTTTGACGAAATGATCACTAGAAGGGTCTCATTTTCCCCCAGATGAGCATACTTCAAATGGCTCGGCAGCAGTTTTAATTCCAACTCCCGTGGCTGCACAATCGAAGGCAATAAATGTATATTAGTATCGGGTAAGAATATAGGAGCTTGGGCATACCTGTGTTAAACTAAAGTTGTAGCTTCTAAGGCTTGCATCACTTCCAATAAATCTGGACTCAATCCTCAAGTAAGCATGCTTTGAACCTCCAAGTGTTTCGTGAGTACCACTTCGAGTGCATCGTCACCCCTAAACTCAAAAGCATCCTGCACTTCAAGGTCAATAACATCTAACGAGAAAATAGAGTGAGGATCCAAGGGATATTTAATCGCATCAAAAATTTTGAATTCAATTTTTTCCCCATCAAATCCCATAATCAAAATTCCATTCTTTACATCAATCTTAGTACCACTTCATAAAAGGTCTTCCTAAAAGGATGTTCATCATGCATTTCTAAGACATAGAAATCAACTGGGAAAATTAATTCATTGACTTGGACAAGGACATCCTCTATAATTCCTTCGGGATATGCATGCGTCCTATTAGCAAGTTGAATAATAATCCCGATTTTCTTTAGCGGTGCAAGATTCAAATAGTTATAGATTGATTTTGGCATGAAATTAATTGTTGCACATAAATCTAACATAGCATGCTTGACTTTTAGTTGCCCTATTTTACATAGGATTGTGAACATACCCGGGTCTCCGCACTTCGGTGGAATCTTTCTTTAGAGGAGGGCCGACACATTTTCGCTTGTGATGATGCATTCATCGCCCTTCAACTTCCGCTTGTTAGTGCACAATTCCTTTAAGAACTTCGCGTACTTGAGAATTTAGTGGATTGCATCCAACAATGGTATATTAAGCTCGACTTTCCGAAATATCTCCAAAACTTCATTCTCCCTTTTTGGCTTTTTCGGCTTTGCCAACCTGGAAGGAAAAGGGGCAAGATTAGTATTCAATTTGGTGATAGTCTCATCAATTAACTCTTTTTTGTTTGCATCCTCCTTCTCGATTTCTTTCTCGATTGTGCTTTCATTTTTATCCTTCGGAATGATTGGTTTCGGAGCTCCCACCGTCTTTCCGGTTCGTAAAGTCATGGCGCTAACATTCTTGGGATTACTTTCCGGTTGTGATGGCCATTTCCCCGTCTCCCTTTCCTTAACATGACGAAGATCCGCCACTATTAGCTCCACATGAGATTCAAGATTTTAAATGCTCGCCCTTGTATCTTGCTGGAATTGGATTGTGTTGGCGGCCATGGTCTTCATCATTTTCTCCAGTTACGTATTGGATTTTGCAAACGGTGGTGGTGGTTGGACAAATTTTTGCGGAGGTGCTTGTGGCAGGAACCCTTGATGGTGCGAACTTCCATACCTGAGATTCGGATGATCCTTCCACCCTGGGCTGTAGGTGTTTGAATAGGGATCATATTGTGGGCGCCTTGGTTGGTTGAAACCGACTGCCTTCACATCGGCATGACTGTCCTCATGCAAGGTAGCTTATGCATCGGTGTGATGCTCCGGGCTCGTGCAAATTCCACACGCTTTCAAATGGCGTGTGTTTCCTGCAGCCAATTGATGAACAACTTTTGGAAGTTCAAAAATTTGTTGTCGAAGAGAATCGTTACCTTCCGAATATTTGAATCCTCTTGTTCCGAATTGTTACGAATTCTCTGCCATCCTTGCGATCAACTCCCATGCAGATTTCGGGGTTTTATCCGCCAGTGCCCCTTGGCTAGCGGCATCAATGTTATTCCGGTCTCGCATGCCTAGTCCTTCATAAAAGTGTTGGAGCAAAAGTTGGTTAGTAATTTGGTGTTGCGGGCATCGCGCACAAAGCCTATTGAACCTCTCTAGGTATTCATGCAACATCTCTCCTTGTTGTTGCTTGATTCCGTAAATTTCCTTGCATAATGTCGCCGCCCGCGATGCCCAAAAATACTTCTCAAAAAATTTCTTTTTCATGTCCCTCCAAGTAGTCACGCTTCCCTCCGGTAGAAAAAATAGCCATTCCTTCGCCGCATCCTTCAATGAGAAAGGGAATGCCCGTAGCTTTACTTGCTCTTCTGTAACCATTGGTGGTTTCATACTCGAGCAAACCACATCGAATTCCTGCAGATGTTTATGTGGTTCTTCTCCTGCAAGGCCATGAAACGAGGGCAAAAAGTGTATTAGTCCGGATCGTAATTCGAAACTAGCATTGCCTTCAATTTCCGGCAAAATAATGCATAGAGGTTATAAATATAAATTAGGCGCAGCCAACTCTCTGAGCGTGCCGGTATCCTCTTCCGCCATATCGGGCTATTGCTTGATCAATTCGCTCAGTTGAGAACTCGACGCTTTTTCAAATTCCAGCTTTCTTTTTGCTTTCTTTCGTAATGTCCTCACCAATCTCTCGATTTCTGCTTCGTATATTCAATTTCCTATACGAGAAGAGCGGGGCATAAACTATTGAAATATATAATATATAATAATAAAACTAAATGACAAAAAAAAAATTAAAACAAACGCCAGTCCTCGGCAACAGCGCCAAAAAATGGTAGCCTCAATGCATCCAATAAAGATTCTCCAACACCACGTGTAGCAAGTGATGCCGAGGTCGATCCAAAGATACTGCAAAGTTTAATTCCTGATTTTGTCACACATTCAAGTATTTGGGGATGGATTAGAAATTCACTAAAATAATTAAAATAAGCGATGGAAAATAAAATTTAGATTTCAAAGAGATTAAATTTCTAGCCCAATGAGTGAATAAGAAACCGGATTAAAGATTCGATCATTGATTTTAAATAATCTTGTTATTCAATTGATAAATTGGTTATAGGCATTAGATACGATCATAACACCCAATTTCTCCTTACTTTATTGGCGGCAATGGTACGACCAATTAACCGCATCCCTAATCAAAGAAATAATCTAGGTATGACCATAAATTAACTTCTCCAATTGAAAATAGCATGACAAAATCCAATTCAAATATTTAATCAATTACGAAAAGATTAAATTATTTGATCATGTGGTTCCTAGGCTAAGCTTGTTAACCTATTTACCACTTTATGAAACACATACACAATTACGGATGTAAATGTTCAATTGACACGCAATTACTAAACCAATCTAAGATCCGGCCACAAAAAAAAGATTAAATAAAACAATTGCAGGCATGAATAACAGAAATCACACAAATATCAATTTACTTAAATGAGATTCAAATTAAATCAAAACACAATTTAAAAAATCCCAATCCAAAATCTACATTCAACCTTGGACTAGATTAGAAATTTGGCTACTCATACTTATAAATAAATAAATAAAAC